TTAAGATTTGGAAAAATAATAATAATAAATATACTACATTTAATCCATAGTTTTTATCATAAATATCAAATATTGTTCTAACCATTTATTTGGATTAAAAAAGGTTCCCAACTTTTCCTAAATCACTAATCACTGAGATTATAGTTGAGGGTTTTTTCTTGTAATCATCTAATATTTTTAGATATATATGTATTTAAAATTTTTTTTTAAATTATTTATTTTAAAATTATAAAAAATCACAGTAAATTTATAATAATTTTATAGATAAAATTAAAAGTCTCATTTTGAAATTTTTTAATTGTAATTTTTACAATAACACCTAATATTTAATACAATTATAAAATTATCTATTAAAACTCAACTTGATTTAATTTAGTTATATTACAATTTATAATATTTTATTTAAATTTAATCTCTTATTTATTTAAAAATTTCATAAAAAATTAAAAACTCATTTTCTTTTTAGGAGTTGCTATTTTGCAAAATCCAAAAGAACATTCATAGTAACAAACCAAAAAAACTTAAATTATTAAATAGTAAATTTTGTTTATTTTAGTAATTATATATGATATAATATTTTAAAATTTTAATTAATAATTAATAAAATTTATCATATATTATTTATAATACTTTAAAAAATAAATAATCAGATATTAAAATAATTTTCAACTATAATTACAATATAATATAATTTAACACAATTTAAATCATAATTATAATCACAATACCTTACAACAAACCCAAAGCAATCTAAATCATTCTTATAGTTAATCAATTTTGCTAATTCCTCGCGAAATTCTAGCGACAATTTTATAGACCCATCCAAGCCTTTCTTTTTTCCAAGGCCTAGCAACAGCTAAAACCCTTTTTTCCCCCTTTAAGCCAACTTCAAATGTCAAGGCCTAACCTTTATAACTTCTAGGTAATACATCTTTTATTTATTGAGTTACATACAAAAAGTAAATTTTGATTTTAATTTTATTAATTAGTTTACTAAAAACATAAACATGATATTAATGTTAAAATTAATTTTACCTTTTACTTCCTTTATTTTAGAATAATAAATATTTTTTTATTTAAAATTTGTCTTAAAATAAGTTTTTTTTAATATTTTAAGGGAAATAATTATAATTTTCCTACTTTAATTTTATCATTATCTTTTTACTTTAAAGATTTGTCTAACATATGTACCCTTAGAGTACAATAAATGTACTTTTTTGTATTTAATTTATATTAAAATTGTAAAAGTTGACACATATTTTAACGTTGTTGACACATGGATAATTTTAATTGGCTAATTGATTAAATTAAAGTCAACATTTATACTTTTAATTAAAATTAATTATGAAAATGTGCATTTATTGTATTCTTATCATATGTCCTAAGGGTACAAGATAGAAAAATTCTTACTTTAATTATATATCATATTGTAATTCAAGGGCTCGTTGGATATAACAATTTGGAGATAGTGATTAATGATGTTGCCTAAACTGCTAAAGATAAGTAGTTACTAAATTTATTTATTTCAAAACCATTACAAATTCGGTGTTGAGTAAAAATTTTATTTAATAGTTTGAAACTAATGAATAATGAGGTTCAAACAACTACTCCCTATGTACCAAAATAACTATTGTTTTTTGACTTTTTCTCCAAATTAAGAATTTAGGAACAATTCATGCATTTACCTATATGATCCTTATGAAAAAGTTAAGACATAAAGTTAGACTTTTTGTAATAGGATAATTAATTAAAATAAATTGATAATGATAGAGTTAAATTAGGGAAAAAAATAGTTGTTTACCTTTAAAAAAATGACAATTAATTTGAGACAAATTCAAAATAAAAAAAATTACAGTTATTTTAGACCAAAGGAAATAAAGAATTGAAATTTTTTAATTTTATTGACAAATATATCTATTTTAATTTTTTAATTTTTGGCTATGATTTTTAATTAGTACTTATTTAATTAATTTTAACTTCAATTTTTCTCTTAAATAACAATAAGTGATTATTATATATATTTTTTACATTAATTTATCATTAAAAAATTATATTAGCTTAATAAAAAATTACTAATTAGATGAAATGATTCATTTTTTTTACTTTATTTGAAAATAATATAATTTTTTTGTTAAAAATGAAAATGAGTAGGTGATTACACTATTATAATTTATTTATTTATTTATTTTTTATAAAATTAATAATTTTAATAATTAAAATATAAAATATAAAGTATATTTAATTACTTTTAAACATATCCTATTAGTAATTTAATATTAAATAACAATTGTTAACTATTATAAAACTAAATAGTTATATCAATTAAAATATATTGTCTACTATCTGCGATTTACTTTTTGCTATTTGCCACTCCTACTACTATCCATAATCCGCTACTTATTACTTACTATCCGTTGAATTTTAACTACTATAACAAACATGCCTTAAGTCTTATTATTTTAATTCTTAATTTTTTTTAGAGTAATATGGATAAAAATAAAATTATCCTCAAATCCTTAATCTCTAAAGATAAAATAAAAAAGCAGCTATTATTTTGAGACCAATGAAATATTTTTTTATATGATTTAATAGCTAAAAAGTAATTACACATGTTGAAAAATCTCAATTTTTTTTATATAACTATATTTGTTATTGAATGAATGATTTTTTTTTTTAACTTTATTAAATATAAGATATTATATAGTTAACAATACATATCAATATCGACTTTAAAAAAATTTAAAATCTTAAACTCAAATGAAGCCATTTCATTTAATTAAAATCTAATTTAAAAATTATAAATCTAAGATATTAAATGTTGACACTTAAATTTAAAAACTAAATATATTTTCTAATATAATTAGTTTCTAAATTTAGGTATTAATTTTTAATAAAATAGTTTATTAATTTTGAATTTGGTTTTAATTAAATAAACCAACATTGGAGCTCTAATTTTTTTTTTTTTTGAGTCAAAACTAATATGCAATATCCTTTATTATATATACTTATTTAATAACACAAAAATTAGTCCATTTATCCTAAAATAGTTGTTTTTTAGTTTGAATTTTTCTCAAAATAATTGTTATTTTTCATTTTTAAGGTAAATGAATATTTTTTTCCTAATTTAATTTTATTATTATTTATTTATTTTAATTAATTATCCTATCACAAAAATTTTTTATCTTTCAATTTTATCTAAAAATAATAGAAATAAATATATGAATTGTTCTCAAAATTTTAATATAAAAAAAATAAGAGTTATGATAGAAAGAATATAAGTAAAAAAAAATTTTAAAAATCCACATATTTTTGGTTAAATGCTAAATTTGGTTCCTCAACTTTAGTGAGTTGCACATTTTTGGTCCCTCAACAATTTTTTGCACTTTTTTTATCCCTCAATTATACGAAATGCACTCCGTTAATCCTTTTGTTAGTTTGGGCCGTTAACCCTGCTTAGGTGGCATTTTTTATATTTTTTTTGATGATGTGGAGAGCAAAACTTAAAAAGGTGATGATTTGCATAAAACTTTTGCCATGTCACATATTATCTAGTTGAAAACGCACCAAATCCATCCAAATGGGTCCAACATCACCACTAAGAATTGCTTTTTTCCCCGTCTATTACTATTTCTATTCTTTTTCTATTCTTTT